GACTGCGTCCTCAGTCGACAGGATTCGATCCGCACTAAGGAAGACCTGACATACATGACATTGATCACCACTCAATGATCAGTGTATTGTACTAGTCTCACTCGTTATTTTCATATCCATTATATTCCCAAACGCCACAAAACTTCGAAAAATCTATTTGCGAAAAAAATCTACTTCTATACCACGAAAAGAAGATAAGCGCGACTGGAGTTGGTATCACAATACCTGCAAAAATTGTTCTGGAAAATTCAGAAAACCCTGAAGTTTTCCAAACTCCAAAATCATGTAATTTACATCACTGATGTAATAATGAAATTTCGCCATCTTGTCGACACTGGAGCAGAAATAAGAGTTCTTTTCGCAAATTATTGATCGTTCAAAAGATGAGGTCTGTGACTTGCAAGCAGCAGGCGGAAGAACGACTGCAAAAATCAGCAAAATGTGTGTTTAACTTAACGTGGATTTATGCAAACCCATTTACTGGATTTTCGTCGTTCCAAACGTTTTCATACTAATCAATGTAATAACCTGCTACAACACCATAATCTACTCATTGACTCCGAGGAAATTGGGGTTAGTAGACAGAAATATTAAATTGCATTTATGGAGCTTTATTTTCTGGTTGTAGTTTATGCCTAGTCACGGTGAAGCAAAGAATCGATCAGCACCTCCAACAGACACTCGACGAGTACCCCGGACTTTGCAAAACGCGATCGAAAACAGCAATGTTGTACAACATATAACAACTACAGGACACACGTATTTTTGTCAGTGCACGTACTAACTCCCGAAAGCTAAGACTGGGTAAAAACGAGTCCGATGTTATGATAGATCATGGAAATCTCCGGCAACTACACAACTCATTCGCATTCCATTTTGAACGTGGTCGCTTGAAAGTATAACAAGACTGGCGTTCAACTGGTGATCATCGGTGACTGAATGCAGAAACCACTACTGATTGTTACCTCTTGCCTAAAATCCATGACCTTATAGCTACTCTGAAAATTACGACTGTCTTTACGAAGATCGACTTAGTTAAACATATTGCCTGATTACCATGGGGATTTCATCCCTAAACGGATATCTTCACCGAACAGTAGCAATGACACAAAATCGGTTAGCCATGTTCACATGGATTGTGTAGTCTCATGACTTGTAGTATAATACAAAGAGTTAGTGTGGTGACCAGTTCTCTTGAATGAGTGTTGAGTGATGAACTTCTAACTTAAGTGTCACTGGACTATAACCATACAACCTTTGAAGCCGAGCACATAATTACTGGAAAGATTTATATTAATCAATTGACACGAAAAGAGGGTTAACAGTGAAGAACGTGGAAGCGTTCATTCAATTCAATTAGACGACACGGTTCATCCTCTTAGACGTGGTCATTCTGTATAACCTATCTTTACATTAAATATATTATTCTATCTTTGGCCCAAAATATGTTTTTCAGAGGCTCTAGACGTTATATTGCTGATTCTTACGATACGACGAATCAAGGTAGACAATGATGGGATCGCCACATAAGATCTCATAGATTAAGTTGTCACATCATAACAAATCTGCAATTTTAGGATAAGTTCTATCACTATAGCAATACTAATGACGAACCTAGACAATAACCCTACAAACCCATAGTTTATTGGTGGGTTCGCTCTTAATGATAGAGACTATCATTCTTCTAGCTTGAAAAGGAAGACACTGATCTTTAGCAGGAGTTTTTTGACAACGCTAGAACAAGCTGATGGGAATATGTAAGAAACTTTATTTTGCAACACATCTACGAGCAGGGATTGTTCAATCCTTTCGAGACATCAGCGTGACATATTCAATACGTTTCACGCACCTCACCCAGATGTGTTGAGTAACCGTTAAACTCATACCAAAACTATTTTGCCGACCTGGTATGAACAAAGATGTGTGAGTGGGTATGCTGCTATGTTAGCAGATAGGAATTTAAGATGATTAGACGAAGTAAATGTCTTCTAGGATCATTTGCATCTTCTAACACCCATTTCGTCCATGTTCATCTCGATTTGGTAAGACCCTTCCTGTATTAAGGTATATCTTCTTATCTCTTGACATGTATAAACCATTACATACAGTGGCCATAAACAATAATTATCAATGACATTATTGTTATGACGGTGGCCAGTGCCTTTGTTAAGTAGTTGTCAGAAAACTTTGGTTACCCATATCTAATACTACAGACCATAGAAGGCAGTTCGAATCCAAACTTTTCCGTCGTCTTACAACAATCTCAGGGGTCACATAGTTCGAAATGATGACAAACCAATCAGAGGCTAGTGAGTGGAAAGAACGATTTCACTGATAGTTAAAAGCTTCACTCACAGCTTGAAACGTATCACGAAAAGGACTAATGTTATTCAACTCGTGTTCCTCGGAATTCTTACTTTAGTTAACTCTGACTTTTGGTAGAACTTTGAGGAGAATTTTTATATACATGATGGCCTTCAAACAATGTGGATTTAAACTTTTGAAGGACCAGGCCTGCAGACGCGTTCGGTTAAACATGCTACTACATGACCTCAGTCAACCGACGATTTCGCCCAACTCAATTTAATATTAAGCACACACGTTTGTACTTGTTGCGGTTAATCCACCCGAAGTCGCATACAAAGAATGTGATAAAGTTCCCCATCGCCAACCAAAGTCTTATGCTGCTGATAAGAAGGGAACCAAAGATGACATACGCAGCTTATTTGATAGGTCAACTCTTCGTCATCGGTTTTCAGACTCAACAATCTGACGGCAAAATTCTAACGACTGAGGTGCAATGTCCGATAGTTATTAACCACGTTCGAACTACGCTAATATTCGAAAACTGATGTGTAACAAAACTGAGATTTCCAGAACATTTGGACATTTCCAATAAAAATACGTTAACGTTCATTTATATGTGTGACTAGCTTTTTTACAAAAGCACTGGGTAATAACTTCTCATATATAATTTTTCTCAATATTTTGTGACATGCACACACAGATATACTGACATTTCCCAGCAAAAATTACTTATTTATTTAAACACAGAAATATTTTGACGTTTCTTTAATTTCTAAGACGACTGAGAAGAAAAATGGAAAACAGAAGATGAATACAATGAATCGGATTTCCCATCGTATATTCTTCACTATTATGCGCACTCTGATTACTGACAGTTGAAAAAAGTAACTGAGCGATTCAGGACGTAACAAGCTATCAGAAGGAGGGATAGGAATGGCAGGCTCGTTGAGTTCAAACGTATTTTGTGCCCGTCTTATGTTCATCACAACCACACCAAGAGGAAGTGATATATGGGGATGCATAAATCCCGACAGAAATAGTTCTGTTAGTCTCTGACATTGATGTTGACTTCACTGGTCTTATGGGACATACCCTACTCGGAGGCGGCCGATCAAGCATCCTCACCAAATCACGAGCCGACCCGTCATTCTAAGCATCTCTCGCAACAACTACTCAGCTTAGATCGAACACTTCTTGACATATCGAATAATTTTCAAATTCACATCCGAAATCCTTCATTCCTGGCTTCTGATCTGACTGAGTTTTGGATTCATGATCAAAAAGGCGTCACGAACAACAGTGATGTCATGCCCTAAACGTCCTTGATGTATTCAGCCAAGCTGGCAATTGAAAATGAAAACAGATAGCGAGAAGTATTTTAATCTATGTACTTCAGGAAAACAACCTCCTGTGCATCGAAGATATAACAGCCAATTTCAGTAACCCTATTCTCTACAGACAAACATATTCGCATAAATTCAAGCTAAGCCAACTTCACAAAATGGCTGCTATATTCACTAGGACTGCTGTGATCCACCTACTAACAATATTGAAGCCTATCGAACATTTGAAACTTTGTGTTCACAGTGCGATGCTAGGCAGAAGAAACTTTGTGATTTACATAAGCTCATCATAATTATAATAGATATTGGACCTACATCAGGTGGTACCACATAAAACGTAACTTATTCAAATGCACGTGTAACGGTTTCGGAATCTCGTGCCAGCGAGCTTGAAGGAACTCCTTTACCGTGCCTCACTTCTGGTTGTAATTGTTGAATTGTTTTAGTTGCACTGTATTACTGATTGCTATCAGTTGGTATCCTAGCTATATGTAAGTGTGCTTAATGTGCCCACTAAGTCACCGTATTATTGTTTCTATCATTCTCTTATTAATCTTTCATTACCAAACCGGGAATCTATTTAGAAAAAAAGGTAAAAGAGAAAGTAAAGGAAAACACAAGGAGAACAATTTGAAGGATCATTAGGGAGTTAAGAGCGAAGTATGGGGAGAACGCGTTAAAATGTCCTCTAAATTACATGGCAGCGCGACAGATTCAGTTAGAAATAATTTAATAGGTTTTCCTAAAGAATACGAATGATGTTACGGATTGAAACGTTGAGCTTACAATGTCCATTTGTTAACATACCTTTCGAATGACGTCCTTTTGCGTATAGCTGTATATACGTTATCCGTGTTCTCATTAGAGTCTTAGATGAAGCATATAAAGCAATCAGTGCATAGCGGTGCATAAAATTGTACGTGAACAGATGCAAAGGAAGGAAGATTTGGTATTTACTTATACAAGAAGCCGATAATTTGTTGGTATTTCAAACCTACAATGACAACAATAGGAAATGTTGCATTATTTTCCATACTAGGCAAAAGGGAAACTTTTTAGCGCGTTACTTTTGTTGTTTCCTCTATTCTTGCTGGTCAGTTGAGATAGTTTGGGAAAATCTGGGTGTTTCTTCGTACAGAAAACACGAGTAAGCTTTAGGAATACCCGGGACTTAAAATTTTTTACCATGATATCATTACTAAGCAAACATTTTTGCTGTGTTTATTGAGTCATCACCTTATAAGTACACTTATTCATCTCTGTTTCAGATCCCCATAGACATTTCCGCTCCTGACAAACCTGTAGACTAGCCTCATACTTACCAAAGGCTGAACGTTACATATATCTTAGATGTTTTATAGTATCGATTTGCTTTCAGCTCATCGAGGGAAGTTCGGGATTATATGGTTTGATATCTTACATCACTGACTTTTTAAAGGCTGGCAGCTACCAGGGTAAGAAAACAACTATCAAGAAAGGAACTAAATTCTGTCAATATTGTTACTGCTTGGTATGTTTAGTCTCATCTTTTATTGCTGCTAGCAATGAAATAACTTCATATATTCTAGGAGAGACACAACTTCGACTCTCATTGTACTTAGCATCCCAGTTGACTTTCGGTATTTGTATCATTTACAGAGAAAAAACTATTGTTATGCTACGTAAGTTAGACATACTGGCTACTTTTTTCTGTGCTTTTTTTTGTGCTGATTAAATATTCCGATTTGTTTACAAATACTAGGTGACTTGCAAGAGCTAAGCCAGAAAGCTTCTGTAACTACAAGCCGGTCCATTGACCTACCCACTTGGTAAAAACTTTGTTCACGTTTGTTAGTTCGTTTGTCTATTTGCCACAATTTTTTGCTCTACATTTCTAACGAGTTCTTTGTCTTATGTATACAGTACTAAATCTCGTACAAAGCGTAAAACTCGCGTACCAGTTGATGATCCTGAAGTACCTCTGTTAAACTTGTACAACGAAACAAATGATTTTGGAAATCTTCAGTTGCCTGATTTGTTTTGGCCCAGTATCAATGAACCTTGTCTGGATTTCATGGATACACAAACTCTGTATCAAGCACGAAATGAAGACATAACTTTGGTGGAAGACCCTTCGGTCGAGGTATGTTGTTCATAATCCTCGCCATATTTGTTTTTTGCCCAAGTTAAAACGTCTTATTTAGATATTTAAGCTTATAGAATGTTTATAGTTCGAATCCTCGTTTCGAAGTCAATTTTCAGTATTAAGGATAAGACGTCAAGCAACCTATACTAGTCCTTGGAGTTCGTAGTACCATAGAAACCCAGTCTAGCCCCGAATACATCGACAGGTACTGGTATCCCCCAAATGCCCCTTTACGACCGAGAGTGAGAAGTGTCAACTCTCAAAATGCTCTCATATAGCCACGCGCTTGCAAACACCGCTAGGGAAGTCCTACTCACTGCATTCTCGCATCGGTGGTGTTTACAAAATTATGAGGACGAAAAGCGAATGGTGGATGCGGAGGATCGGCTTCGGGGAGTTAGAAAACCCTGTCTCCAAACCAATAGTGCTTATGGGCTCCAGGATCCTGAGGGAAAAAATGGCGTATAAACCCGTTGTGGGTCACCGGTTGCCATGGGACCGCATCTCTTAACGTTGCTTCATTGCCTTGTTGACTAGACCTTCAGGTCGAAGTTTCGGGGTGTAGCTCCTTATGAAAACCAACTGCTTTGGTCTGGGCACCTGGGCAGTATCTCAGCCCTGACAAAAATCAAATAATTTGTGTGGTGTACATATATTTTTTGCCCCCTTGTACTAATATTTACGTGTTTAGATAAATAAATAGATATTACGTGTTCTTGTAAAGAAACTTAGGCCGTGAACGGCTTAGTCATGATCTTCAAATTTTTTAAAAATGTAATCACAGATGATTAGTTCTAGGCGATGAAAAATATGAAACATTCATACCAAAATTATCGTTCAGCATACGGTAGGCCAGTATTAAATCACTTCTTAATAATCAGCTAGTTAACGAGTATATCTTAAGGTGTTAGAAAGTAATTAAGTGAAATCTTGAAAAAGAATGAAGTAGATCGCGTGATGAATTATAGAACTTGTGAATAAATATAAAAGACATGTAGTTGTTAAAAAATAAACAAATTGGGCGATGAGTATTATTTTATTGTATCAAATCATATATATGACTATAAAACCATATTGAAAAACTAATTTAAAAGAAATTTCTTTGCTCGATTCATTCTTTTTACTAAATGTCAAAATGGTAATTGTTTAGAATTCGATGAGATGGGTTACATAATGATAATAATAGACAAGATTTATAGAGTTTAGATAATTAATTGGACGTAAAAAAATCGCTGAGTGAAAAGATGATTTTGGTGTTCATAAAATAAAAATTAGTTTACAAAATAAACGCTAATAAAATAATAGAAATAATAACTGAAGGTGATGCTGTTCAGAACTGCGCATTTACCAAGGTATTGATCAGTTGGTTACTGTTTCTTTATAGATACATAAATCATGTATGAGTTTCTTTATTCTTACCTAAGAGACTATGTTTTTGTCCGCCGATAATTTGGAAGGATTGGGGAATGTCAATTGTATGCCCTGTATCAATTAAATGCCAAGCTATCGTTCTATTTAAAGCTGTTCCTCCTCTCAATTTCAAATTCTTTGGAACTTGCTTAGAAATGCGAATATTTACTCTTCTCTCGATCTTTCCAATGTCTTTTCTTTGCCACTTACATGTAAATTGGTAAATGCGTATGAAAGTACTGAGAAAAGGTAATCTATCCATGTTCCTTTATTCGAATGAGCAGTTCGTTCCGCGTAACACCGTCAGTCCTGGCGTTAAATAAGCAGTACTCTTTGCGGCATTTGTCCCGTAGTTAATTTTTTCAGTGATTTAATCTCCTTTACAGCGCAGATATAACAAGTAGGTTTTCTTTTCCACTAAAACGTACTCAACATGTACGTTGGTTTTGAAATACCTCTCGATCAATTACACTGTATGTGCATTTTCACATAATAAAAAGCAAGTTCTTTCATACTTCCCTTGGAGGACGTTTTATGTGCACCAGCCGAGTCTAGAACACCAATAACAGCCTCCACTATGCGAATCAAATCATTTATTTCAGACATACTGTTTGGTTTATATATCAACCAAACAGACCGCAACGCACCATAAAATAGGAAATAACATTTATACACAAAAAAGCCAAAATGTGACTGTGAATGTGGGAGACAGTAGTCAATAAACTGAACATAGCTTAAGAACAGTAAATCGTACAATAATAATATTTAGGTCAAAATAATGCTTATAACATGGGAAATATAGATGTACATAATCTAATTATACCATAAGAATATATAGAAAATATTTGTCCGTTAATAGGTCTCGTAATTTAATCTTCGCTAGAATATAATACTGTCCACACAGCCAATCGTTGTTAAAAAACTTACAAAACATTTGCTCAATGGATAATAACCTCAAACAATAGAACTGTATAAACTCTGTCCGATTAAAAGAAAAACCGACAAAAATACACAATATCCCAGAAATTGCAAAACTAACCAAAAATAGTGTACTTCAATACGAATTTGAAGAAAATCTCGAACTTTAACCGAAATAATCCTTGTTAAAGTTGACCAAATATACTTTTGATACATAGACACACAAAAGCAAAGTTAATCCACAAGTGTAAAAACACTGGGCTATTGGAATGTGCGCTTGTAAATGTATAATCAAAGACCAGTCTAGTAGTGATTTCAGTAAATGTAATTTCAGTTTGGCATTAACACAAGGCTTAATGACTTACGTTAACCATGGCGGTTTAAGTTAACATTTGAATCAATGTCTGGTGCATAATTACCAGAGTCACCGTTTTCTCTATTACTCTAACGAGTTACGGTTCATATGACTGATTTTCTATGTAATGTATATCTCCCTACCTTCCTCGTTTCGATAGCTTTTCGTTATCCTCATAATTCATAACAACAAACGAAGACAGAGTAACAGCTATGAAGAGTTAACTCTAATTATTGCTTCACTGACTTGATCCATACCATTTATTACCTAGCAGTAGACATTTATACTATTTAAAGCTGTATCTCTGTTGTGTAGGTCTGACTAGAACAACCTGCAAATCCAACAAACTAATTTATTAGTAACATGTCTCACATTCCAAAATGGTAAATCAGTAAAAAACGAAATTGCCAAAGGAATCTTGGAGAAAACAAAAGATTGGATACATGTTAATATGACAATCGTCTTTTGGCTTATAAAAGTGAATTATGTATGGACATTGATTGATGAGGTATTTTCGTTACATGTTCTACTCAGGATATTCAAATCTCACACACCTGCTACGTGTTCCTTTTATTAAGGATACCGACCCTACTTAAGCTTATTGGTACCTATGTTGAAACAAGTATTTATGACTACTTCTGCATGTCTCCTGTCTTATTATAGACAACTGGTACTCGTTTTTCATTTGGTGAAGATTTTTTGCCGGAGTTTATCCTTGAATCGATAAATCGTGATCATCATACCATCCAACCAGTAGATTTAATTCCTATTGAGATTCAAAATGGCAAGAGACACATTTCTAAACATTTAGTACATGAGAGTGAAGCTGAAGTTACAGAATATTCTGCAGTAGAAAGATCATGTCATTCAGATAAACCTCATAGGTTTGTTTTGTCTTATTTTTCTTTCTTGTCAAATTGACAGTCTAATTTTGTTGAGTTTAATCAAATTCAATTCAAGTGACAAGAATCCTGGCATGATATTACCTGCGTATATGACGTGCATGTTTAGTACATTTATTATCCATCAATTGATTCACGTTTATAAAACGAACCGCCTTCTCTACTTACCTATATTGCATTATGGTCAACATATTATAGAAAAGCATAAATTTTATCTGCAGTACATTTTGGTTTCTTTTATCTGAGTCAGCGAATTAGTGGCTTCATAAATGATCATTTTCCCATAATCCTCTCCTTTCTGCCTAACAGTCAGTCAGCTAAAACGTAAAACCAGGCACGTATATGCATTGGCCCAAATTGGAATGACTCATTAGCACAACATGAACACCGAATTCATAGAAGTGGTCACTTCAATGGTATTAATGTATAAAAGAAAGATTGTGTATAAGGATATAGTACAGAAAGAAGAAATTAGTTCGTAGAAAGAGAGATGTAAAGTAATTTCAATCTCATAGTTTGAGGGAAGACGAGGAGTGTATATGTCTACACCATTGTGATCGATTCTGAGCCATGTCATCCAGGGTCTCTAACCATGGATTCGACAGTCACGCGGACCCCAACCAAGTAGACTGCATCTACTAGCATGACTTCAAGGACTGATGTCACGTTTCGGTTTGGTTGCCCCTAACTTTCTTCCATTCATCTTCAACACTTGTCAGCATTGTGCATCGTGGTAATCGGTGTTTGGGTACACGTAACACGTGATCCAACCATCTCATTCGATGAGGATCCACAACCTCATCAACTGATTTATCATCACTCCCTAATATCCTGCGTCTAACTTCACTATAAATTACCCAGTGATTCCAGCAGATGCGAACAGTGTTTCTAAGATGTCTGTCATCAAATACTGATAACTTACAAGTATCTTCTGCATAATAACCCAAACATTATCTGATTTTAATTTGTAAAGTTTTTAGCTATGTTTAGAGATGGCGCCTCAAACTTTTAAAATTTAGTTAACATCAAAGATTCACTACTGTTTTTTCACTTATCTACAGCCTGACATTGTAAAATAATTACGACAAATTAATCTTGGCTCCCAACTGCCGAGAGTGGAACGAGTCTGCTATTCCTCTCATATGACCACGAGTATATAGCCACTTCCAAGTAAATCCTACTCATCCCCTTCTCTTAGCGATGGTGTTGTTTACGAATTTGAGAGGACGAAAAGCAAATATCCTGCGCCTAAACGTGGTTGGTGAGCACAAAGGATCCATCTAGGGGAGTTTGGAGGATTTGAATCCGAACTAATGGCGCAGATGAGCTCAATGACCCTCGGAGAAAAAATGGGACACCGACCTATTATTGGGCATCAACTACCGTGAAACTGCATTTTCTAACGTTTTTCCACTGTCTTGTGGATTAGATCTCTTGATCATTGACTCGAGAAGAGTCTTCTAGGACAACCACCTGCTTCGTTTTGGGCAACCAGGCAGTATCATACCCCTCACACTTATTATGGCCCTTATATATTTTGGTGCCCCTTTGTACCAATGTTTATGTTTTTAAATAAGTAATTAAATAAAACATTCTTTTGATTCAAACGCTGTATTAGTCCAGAATAGCACCGGTATAATGACGAGTATTATTAGGCATATGTATTACTTAAATATCACATTTAAATAGAACTGCTCGAGACATTATAGTATCCTCCTCAATATATATAAGAATTGAGTTGTGAAATGTTGATCTGTCCATAAAATTTGTTCTTATTTGACCATTCGGATAGGATGCGAAGTGACAATTAATTTGTAAACACTGTCTCGATTTTACGACACAACGAAAATGATTCATCTGGGAATTGCGTTTTTTATGTAGTGTACTACTAATACGTTTGAATCGTGTCATTTACTTTCTAAAACATTTCTTTCAAGGCCGATAACAACAATACAAAAAAGTAATGTCATATTCGACTCCGTATTAAATCAATTAATCCCCGTACATACAGAGATAGTGAACTCGTAAGTTTCGATTGAAAATTTTTACTTAATTATACTTATTACATTTGAATGTATTCGATAAAGTGTGTATAAATCTAAACTTTTGCACTGAACTTAACAAAACTAATCAACTGTGTCCGTACAAGCGTAAACACGTGAAATAGATTTGAAGATATAATTTGTTAACTGAAAATCTATTATGCGAACCACTGTGTCCCGACAGTTGTAATTTTTCCACCTAGTTCTATCTAGTCAGTATTTCTGTAAAGATTACTGCTATCTCAGTAGCCATCGTCATCAGCTTTGATTAGTTTAAGGTGAAGTGTGTGTTTCCATTGTGAATTATCAAGGTTTTTTGTCATCATAAAGTATATCGTACTGAAACTTTGAATCAATTGCCTGAATTTTTTGCACTAATATTGATAAACTGTAATTATATATAAACCCTATCTTAATGCGATTTATAGACTTGTGATGTAACTTACTATTGTTTTCAACTCTATGATGATCCGAAGTGCATGTGTAGTGTTGAGAAACAATAATTGATATGCAGTACTACTGCATTGGGTTTATTGTATCTCAGCTTCTATGACACATCGTAAATTATCTGAGAGATTATCATTTCACTTTTTTTATTATGTTGTAATTCGCTACCTTTTTAACAATCGCTTTTTTTCAAGTTCAAAGGATTTGACTAATGCGAAAACGCTTGCTCAAGGAAGCGCTAATGAATGCATAGTTTCACAGTCTTCTGACGTACCTATGGACTCAGTCAATGCGTAAGTTTCTTTCTTACGAAATTCTTGCATCTGCTTGAAGTTTAGTATGATAAAACTATTCTACGGACCAACTTGTTTAGTGATTGGGAATGTTGGTGTGTGAAATAGTGCTTGAAATTCCCTAAGAAGTAGATTTTTAGACGTGAGTCGGCTACGACTCATATTCACTCTATCTTTTACGATGAAGTGTGATTTGTTACTGAGCAAAGACATTTGCCTTACCCTAATTAAAAAAATATGTAGACTATCGTTATATTTGGATGTTTAATTAACTCATGATTTTCGATTGGGCTGTTGGATGTTGTTTTATTTAAATCTTTGGTTGTGATCTAATTTAGTGGTTTAATTCTATAGTGTATTCTGTGTATAATCAAAACGTTAGACTAAATGATGCTTAGGTTCGAGGTAGTTTACTAGGTTTGATCATTTCATTTTGAACACATGAGACCTGATACATTGTGGCACCGAAAAAGAAAATGGGGAAACAAAGAACAATCGAAAAGAAAAGCTCTATGGTCATAGCAACTATGTGAGCCTACTGTAGTTCTTTTTTCTTTATTTATATTAAAGTATTCCACTTGAATTTGCTTATGTATTCATTTATGTTTCTACATTTCCAGAATTTCAACTAATGTGGATAGTTCACTAATGGTAAGTTACGAATCAAATAATAATTCTAGTTATTTTTACCTACTGATGATTTGATTTACATGTACAACGATGTGTGTGCCAGTTTATACAGCGGAATGTTTTTCTAAAGTTCATGTAACAAGCTACATCCCTTAGGGTAGCTGCTACCTTGACGTGGTAGTCGGGTTTGCCTATCGTAATAACTCAATCAAGCTATACTGGCTTGGACACTCGTTCCTTAATGTTCTACCATTTCAGATAGATCGATTGGAAAAATTTTTGAACTTAAAGCACTAACTTATGGTACGAGGGTGAATTTGTACTTCTGACTGTAGAGGAATGTGACAGTAGTGAAATGTTTCCCTTGGACAACTAGCATCTTCAGTGGTCTTGCCTTCTCACAATGGCAGTAAACAGTTAGAAAAAGTCGACCCTAAAAAAACATCCAAACTTACCTCACCACACTGGTTTTCTTCTTAGGCATTAATACTTTTGAAAGTGTGGAGCTAACGCATCAAAAGCTTCCCATACCTATGCCTTACCACCTCTTATCTCAACGATCAATTTTGTTTGATGTATGAGTAGGCTATGTAAAGAACAGATTTTCATTTTGTCTAAATAACTAACGAATAGTATTCCTCACACATTTACAATCATCGTTCTTATATATTAAACGGGCTTCTATGTGTTTTCAATATCTTTATGGATATATCATGATGTTTTCATGTTATATCTTTGTTTTGGATACAACAATGTTCAACCACGGAATAGGCCACATTGATTTATTTTCTAATTGGGAATTATAAACTACTTTATCATGCATATTATTTAGTTAATATTTAGATTATTTTATATCCATGTTTCAGTTTCCAAATTCTATTTAACAAGGGCATTTATGGTAGTATTGTAGTGAACAAGAACACAAGTGAGGCATTAGAACATGAAATTACAGAACATCTCACTAAAACCTGAGAACCATATAGTTAATTTGCAAAATGTCAATCAATTGTCTCGAACTTGACTGTTCTTTTTGCAAATATCAGTCCATCGTTTCAGGTTTCCTTGTTCATGTATTTTCATACCAATTGATTTCGGTTCCCGTTCTTTCTTCTCGATCTTCTACTGAAATACATTCTATGCCTGACCATCGTTATATACTACTTAGGTGAATATATGTAGCTCACACCACAGTATCTTTTTTCTATTTCAGCCTTCTGCACAGTTCAGCACTGAAATAATCAATAATTCTACTCATTTGGAAAACATCAAACAATCGAATGTTGTATTAGAACAAGTTGAATTGACTAAAGATTTTTTAACAGAAACAGAAATGACTCAGATATTACCTCAGGAAGAAGAAGAAAGGTTAGTTACTCATTTTATAATTTATCTTTTTTTTCAAGTCACATAAATCTACCATAAAAAACACAACAGAAAGAAATGCATAAAGAAAACTTAAAACACCTTTATAAGTAGAGATGGATGATCGTTATCAAATGGGATCCAGGATATGCGTTTCATCCTATTTTGAATTACGCCAGATTGATTTATCTACACTCCAGAGTTGATGTTTATTCCGGTGTTTCAATCCCATTATCGTTCGCTTCAAATAACCAATTCAAAAATTAAAATAGTTCTTCCTTCTATTAAATCTGAATAATGATATAAAAATATGAAGGTTATCATTTATTCATTTCTCTAATAATTCCTAAAGATTTGTTACTTTAATGCACCGACTTAGTTTAGTTCACATTTAAAAATGAATCCTTTCAACAGATTGATAGAGGTTTATGTGAATGTGTCATTATTAGTTGATGTGTTTATGACACATATTGAAAATTTCGCTAAAGATCCATTCGAAAATACATACCTTTATGAGCGTATACGTATATGACATCATAGTTATCGGTAACAAAACAGGATGCAAATTTTTTTTCATACAAAGAGAAGGATAACCCGCTTCTTTTCTTAAATATACTTATATGTAAAAGAGATGGTTTAGTCGAACGATACGTTTTTAGAATGCTCTCTTAGTTTTTATGGTTATTGCCTAGTTCAGTCATGACAATGATGTTATCATCGTTGCAGAAAATGTAAATTCATGGATCACAAAAATGGATTTTGTCAAAAGAGGAAGCTAAATCACTCCAGAAATACCAAAAAGCCTATGTTCCAGATCATGCACAAATTTGTTGAGCCTAACAGCGTACTTCAGGAATTGAATTGTACTCTGAAAAATTTTGATTGACCACATTTTGTTATCGTAAATAATGAGACTGAAACCCTTTCATTACAATCATAGGAGTTATTGTGATTACGACACTTTGTCATAAAATTGGTTGATTTTAAAGTGTTCATCGATGGAAGAACAGCTGGGAATCAACGTCGTTTTATCCTGTTTTCAAAATGGTTACCACTGTAAACCAACTCATTTGTTTGCACTGAAACGATATAATGTGTTGAGACCTATTTAAACCATGATGTCTAATTATGTATATCAACTTATTTTGGACGTAACAAGACTTTTATTCGTTTTTTCCACTTTTTTAATTGCTCAACTGATTTTTTTAAACTACATATTCACATTACGTAAAATATATTAGTAGTGAAGGTTTATACTCATATATCTGTGATTTTGGTATTTCTTCTATGACTAGAACCTTTACTAGTGCTTCTGAACAGAACTTATGTCCAATTTCGTTATCTCGATTAAATCCATTACATCCTGTCGAATCTGAGGAGAATACGCATCGTCGTCGTATAAAAAAGCATTCTAATAAGCTCATCATTGATGAAATCACCCGACTAACAGCATCAGAATTACGCTGGAACATGTTACATGGCGAGGAGACGATGGTTACACGAGACATTTATCTGGCTGAATCAACTCCACGCAGTCAAACACGATATCTGTTGTCTCGGAGTGTTTCACGATTATTCTCTGTCCCCAGTAATCTGGAAACTGCTCTTAGTTTAAGACTTTGTGAAGTACGTCATTTGTTTGCATCCATACTTCTTACTTGTAACAAAGTGAATTTTCCTATCTCACATATTTTCATTCCAGTAAAAACGGCGTTTTTAATAAAAACGGAGTTGATGTTGACTTTGAGCAGACGTTTTATGGATTATAGATGTAACTGAATTAAGAGAAGTAATTACCAGCCTAACTTAAATTAAAATATTCAATGTTTTCATAAGCTCTGTCAGTTTCGTTTAGTTTTCCCGAATAAGCGGGTCAATTAACTATTAATTCAACAATATATGATGTTTAGTCCGTTGTTGAAATTAATTTGACAATCTTCAGATGATACGTTTTATTGTTCTGACCATCTCAGTTTCAAATTTAAATTTATCAATCAGTTCTCACCTTTCCTCTGATCACTAGGCATAGCATTCGTCATCAAATCTTTATTTTCATTCCGGTAAATATTTAATTCTGTATATTTAGACAGTTCGTCTTTCATCGTCTTATTGATGTATATTACCGTCAGATGCTGTATTAATTCATAAAATATATCCGTACATCTTTTCTACACAACGAGTTAAAATAATTATTTATGTAGGAGATTAGTTTCCTGCAACTTTTTTTCCAGTTGAATGAGTTGATTAAAAGCTCTAAGTTAACCAAAACTACTAGAGTTTGATATTCAACACCCCGAACACTTTTGAAGTTAGTTCCTCTGAGTAAAACTGAATAAAAAAACAACTATTACAATGAAAACATGTTAGATCACTTCAATGTTGTCGTGGTGCTTTATTTTCTACTCTTATACTTTTGTGAGAAAAAAGTAATGTGTAGACTGTTGTATTGGATGTAGTGTAGTTGTATACACTATCATCTGCCCTTAAACTGAGATTAAAATCGTTTCATATCTTTCTTTCTATACTATATCCTTACATAAAACCTTTTTATATATTACACCATTGAGTTAACTGATTCTATGAGTCCGGTGTTCGTCTTGCTGTGCTAATGTGGTGTGGCAACTTGGACCGATGCATACATATGCCTGGTCCTACTTTGTAATTGACTGATTGGATGTAGCATTCACAGCAACTAACCAAGTGTTTTCTTATCCGTACAAACAGTGGTAAGCCAATTTAAAGCACAGTTTATCAGTTCATATAACATTGACATTAGAATGGATCACATCAATAGTTTATTTTTAAGATCAATATGTGTATTTTTTTCCTAGCTTTGGTGTTATCATCGGCGTTTATGTGAAAAAGCTTTACAAAAAAGGAAATTAGATGATTTGTCAATAAATAATGATGTAATCCAAACTAAGCGTCCTACTAAATCATTATCAATAAAAATGAATGCTATTACAGAAGAAAATGAATCTTCAGTAGAAATTCAAAGAATTGCTGGAGATCATTCTTCTCTAATTGGATCTGAATCTATTTTTGGAACTAGTAATATAATTGATGTAACCAATAATCAGGTGAGATAAAACAAAATTATTCATACCATTTTTGTTATATGATTTGCATCATTTAAACTCATCTTGTTTGGATAACATAACACCTTTCTTTAATATCGGTCCATGAGGACTGATCTCATCGATAATCCGTTTGTATTTGAACGGATTCATTTCACAAATAAAAATTGTTTAAGCTAATTAATTTCTATAAAAAAGTAATGGTAATGACATTGTGTCATTTTGTCATTATGTCATTTTGTCCCGAATGGATTAAAATCTAATTTACCAAAATCATCCGGTGTTGACTATCTTCAAGTGAGACGAGCATTAGGGCTGAAGTATTTGTATAGGCTGATTCGTATCAAATAATAATACCAAGAACTAATTTAATATGTAATAACTTTTGTTCCACAGTGATCACATTCCGTTGTTTCGATTTATTGGTTTGCCCACGTAGCATTTTTTGATGTAATCTGTCCGATAAATTGCTTTATTGACACTACACAATTTAGAATACACCAATCTTATAAGCAATGATAGATAGTGGCTAGCAGTGGAATCCAGGACGCGCGTTTCGTCCCATTTGGGACTCGTCAGATTGCTGTACCTGCATCTCAGAGTTGATGTTCACTTTTTGGGATTCAAACCTTTTACCGTTCGCTTCAAACACCATCGCGTTATCCATTTAACTAATACAGTCTGTCTTTGCTTATAATGTTTGTGAATTAAGGCAATACACACAGTATGCACATATGCCAATAAGAAACTGATCAATTTCAGTCCTAAACATCAATGGAAGATTCAAGTAAACAATACCATTTTAATTTACTCCAGTCTTATCTTGGAAATATTGTCCGTCCGTACTAATACCTTTCTCATTTGTGTTAACATTGTTTGAAACACCACTGAAAGGTCTTTGAAGTTAGGCTATTTAGCTATATGTTTTCTTAAGTTTGTATGCATAAAAGATTATCCTGAATTCATTTCACAAAGCAGACTTCAAACGTTCGACTTTTTCATTAACTCGAGAGTTAGACTGCGTTTCTGGTTTTATCATCTTGATCCATTTGAAGTTTTACATTTAGCTGATTAATTATTTTACACCGAAGTTATGAATGTGTCTTTACTTCTTTATTCTTTTAGATCCCTATTTCACAAGTTCATTAATTTCATAGACACTCAAATGATTCCATGAAAACTGATACCTCTTCATATATATAAATATACACAAACTTTTCTTGTCTGTTAAAGTTTATTACTCAATCATCTTAATAGGGATGATATGACCACTTTCTATATCTGACCTTTAGTGATTTACTCCAATTTCACCGCTATGTATTGGGTATTATAGAAGGTGATTCTGTTATGATTGTAATTCTTTTTAAATATCAATTCTTTTCACTTATATTACGTTAGACGATCAGTGTGCGTGAATCATTAGTGCAAATGAAAGAATCTTTTGGGGGTGCTAGTGATCAACCTATCCCAGATATCGTAAAAAATGTACGTGATAATACTGCTTCTGAAATAACTCGTCAAGCCCTAGATCTCCCTATTCCAGGGACTTCAATATCTTTGCCTACTGAGTGTACAACATTAGTTCCTGTAATTGAAGAACCTGAAGAAAATCTGCAACAACAAAATGAGTTGGGTTAGTTTATGTTTTTATTAATATTTTCACTCACTAAATCAAGTTTTATCTCCACTGGACGATGTGACTAGACCACATCGCCAAAGAAGTTTAGCTATAAACTGTCGCTCGTCTTGAGTTACAGACGTATACTAATGATGTTCTAATCCGGTCACACCTTTGGCTGTTTCTTACTTGAAGCAGGAAATCCACTGCAATAAAATCATTTGTGATACAAAGTATATTTTAGGAACAGCTACAGAGATAATCAAAGATGAAAGTGGTATGCATCACAATATAAGTAGACGTGATATGTTTTTGACCATAAGGCATCGTTCCGCTTTTTCGACCAACATATTTCGTGCTATTGTTTCATTGAAAAACGTACCCGAACGTTCGTAGACCTTTTAAAAACTCTGCCGAATTACTAGTTATCGAGTTTGAGCTTACGGTCAGATATAATGACATCAAGCAGAGATAGCCCTCTCGTCATCTTACTTTTTTCAGGAATCGCTTAATTACTGAGACATTATATTGATTCATCTTCTCATAGTGACAATTCTGTCTGATAGAAAAGCCGCTAAAATGCAGCCCTCTGATCACCTTAAGCAACAATGCAAACTTGTTCGGGATTTATATCTCTAAGTGTGAATTGTTGCTTTGGAACTGTTCTACGTGAATGCTTGTGCTTAAGTTGTTGAGAGTGTCGACTACTTCACTTATTTTGAAGCCTTGTTAACACTAGTGCATTGTTGTTTGACAAGATCCCGGTATGGTTTGAAAAAACTAGACTAGTTTTCAAGAATCCTCATTATTTGTAGTGTAGTTGAAATGTCGCTCTGTCGATCACGGAATGCGTATTCATTCTTCTCGAATCATATCGTTTGAGTCTAATGTTTCCCACTACTCTGATGCTGTTACGATTTTCAGTATATCATTTATGTTGATAATTCGAGCTTGCTATATTGATATATCATAACAAGTTGAATCAACGTACATAGGTGATAGGTTCTGCGCTTCTGACTGAATATTATGTAGTTCATCGTTATGTATAAAAGTGTTCTAGAACGTCCATAACTGATGAATTTCAAAGCGAAAAACTGCCTATACAATCTTTCCCCCAAATAAGTAAATGAATATTGTTCTATCTTTAAAACACTTTTTTCTGTAGGTTTATTTTCAGAACATATATAGTAGTTACTTTTTATTATTTATGTGTCGTATATATTTCACCTTTGATTGTTTGTAGATTCTTCGTCTGTTGTTCCTAATTTAGTTGAAGCACTACCTGATCAATCTCAACTGCCTACTGAAGTTTCCTCTTTATCGGGAAAACATTTTCATGATAAATCACAATTATGGAGGTAATTGTAATTGTTCACTTGTTTCTTTTCTTTTTATATTTCTCCCGAAAGATTTGTAAGTAATATTAAAACTATAAGGACTACCATACCCAGAAGTTAATATCACAAATAATTAAGTTAATTGTAATCTGAGAACATTTCACCAGTTACAGTTGTGGAATAATGATGCATCCAGGCGGTTTAAGATCTATTATTTTATTATTATTTATTTTATTTTAACCCATAAACATTGGTACAAGGAGGCACCAAATAGATATGCGCCACATAAATCATTCAATTTGTGTAAGGGATGAGATACTACCCAGGTGCTCAGACCGAAGCAGGTGGTTATCTTAGGGGGCCACACCCCGAGCCTTTGACCTAAAGGTCTGATCCACAAGGCAGTGGAGCATCGTGAGGAGATGCAGTCCCATGGTAGCCGGTGACCAACGATTGGTTCATACGCCATTTGTTCCCACAGGATACTGGAGCCCATGTGCACCATTGGTTTGGAATCCGGTTAAAGTCCCGCACATTCGCTTTTCGTCCTCTCATTTTCGTAAACAACACCCGCGCCACGAGAAGGCAGTGAGTAGGACTTCCCTGACAGAGGCTGTATACGCGTGGCCGTGTGAGAGCATTTCGAGAGGGAGGGCGAAACTACCCCACTCTCGGCCATACCAGAGCATTTGGGGGCATTCACAGTTATATAATATACCCCTGTGGGTCAGGGTAATTTTACATTGGTTTTCAGGAGAACCAGACACCGTATATGCTTTAACGCTACAATCTGAATAGTACAGCTCAATCCTGTGGCGCAACCACACAGAAAATTGAGTCAACTGATAGCATATATCTTTATCCTCGGAAAATTAAACTAAATCTTGACCAGTTGTATTCACTACTCATCAACTCTCATTTATTATTTAGGCCTGAACTGATGTTTAATTGGTTCAACCTATAAGTTTTGTTTTTAGTGTTTTTTTGTTAGTGTTAAGTTTCCGAATTCCACTAAAATGTTCATGGGTTCGTACTTAGAAATCAACTTTCTCTGTTGTTGATATGTCCATTACAGTGTAACCCTTGATTCAACCTTTACTACAATTTAATCGTGATTTGTATGATTGTTTTGTATCCATCTACGTATTGAAGATATATTTAGTATTTTTCCCTACATGGATATAATAACACTTTGATTCTTCAATTTAGATATCTCTATAGTCAACTAATAGAGTCAAATTCTTATTCGATCGACATTGAAAACCTTTGTCCATTGGGTTGCAGTAAAAAACAAGCAGCATTTGTATTCATGACGCTTTTAGGTATGAAATTATTCATTTTAACTGTTCTTTCTCTTTATTTGAGTTTTTTTTTATTTCTGTCACTAATGGTAAAACTCAGTTCACAATCCTCTTCAACTAGTATGTCGACTTATGAAACTTTGTAGACACGGAATACCAAAGAACCACTGCTTTGCACATCTATTGAATTCACAGTTCTCAATTGATTCATAGCAATCAGTTCTACAATAATTTGACTGAACCTTTCACTCTAACGTGATGTATACGAAAATCTTTGCCAAGATAAAACATTTATAATTATTCTTAGTTTAGTGGGGTAAAGGTATCATATACTGATGGCATTGAGTTAACCATACAGAAGTGCAATGGTAGATAACTATGATGTTACCACAAGCAAAATAAATATTGGCATTGTTTGAAATTGAAAACAATATCTATTATGCAACCACAAAGTGAATTTTAGATTATGCGCATGATAAATTTCAAAACACTCTTAAGTCAGAATGTTTGGTTAAGTACCTGATGTAATTCAGTATGTAGTCAATAGTGCTTCGTGAGGCTAGATAGTATTTTATCGCTCAATTCCTTAATTTTTAACTCGAATCTCAACTTTTATAAGTTTGTAAACAGACGGATGATAAATAATTGCATTATAGTTGATGCCATCTCTTGACGAAAACTCCAACCCTGACTTGTACACGCACTTTAGAACTCCAGCGTAACTCTAACCTTTTTGTGTTATCTCGAGTGTTATCTGTTGACAAGATCTATTTGGGGTAATAGTCTTAGCTCACAACGCTAACCCGCCCTCTAGTCTGCAAACCTTAACCTTTTTCGTTTACTAAAATGAATAATTCTTCATAGGAAGGTTGATTATTAAGATCAGAGCTATTATTGCTTATTGCTGTTAATTCTTTTATAATTCGTTAGCGTCTCCTGATTACCTGATAGTTCGCCCAAGGTTGTCAGCACATTATACTTTCATCTTTAATACTTTGAAATTTCATGGTGAATTTTAACTTCACATAGTACATTTTCCCATTTGACTATTCAGGAGTTAGTTGGTAATATAGCTTTCATTTAAAGTTGATGTCAGAAACTTGAGTGAACATTGTACTGATTGAATTTGTTGAATATAAATAAACCGGTGATACCTTATATACTAATCATATTTCATCACATTCGATAGAAATTTAAAGCTCTTATTATTCCTTTTAACTCATCTCTGTTTATTTCACGTCCTTGTTTATAATCCAAATGGTTCAACATTAACCTCTAGATGATTATTTTTGTGAAAATGTGGTCAATTTATAGTTTATTTTCATCAAGAACTGACATCGATTTGAGTACCATTGAAAAGCAAAGAACAACAAACAGCTAATCGGTCCTAGTATGAGGGTTAGCAGTACGTACCACTGTCATACTGAGAATCAAGCCGGTGACCATGTTTCGTTGTCACTGCGTCGCTTTTAGGTCAATAAGTTGAGATCCAGTGGATCGAATCTCCGACTACAATGTTTTCCAGATAAATTGTAACTATTATTCAACCCAATCGGTTATGACTGTCCTTCTTAACATAATTGGACTTCACTTGTCACAACTCACAAACCCTTTAAGAATTCATCTTGAAGTTGGTTCTTTGTGAAATTTTAACTGGAGATTTTGTAGAGATTTAGTTTTAAATGTAATACGTCCACTACTAGATCGAAAAGTCCTGAGTTCGACCCGTCTCAAGTTCGTGTCTGCTTTATACTAAATCATTTAGCCTCATACTACCTAGTTTTATGTGGTACTGTAAATAATCAACAAGGTTCTGTATATTTAGACTTACTGGACCTCCATTTAACTAGTTAATGAGATAAAGTTTCACTAATAAGTGTAACTCTTAAAGTCATTGACTGTTGAATTAAATAATATAGTCAAATACAACATATCAGACAAAAGTCCTCACAACTCGCATAATCAATAGTTGAACACGTTGGCTGATATCATTCAAAATCAATGGGTAGTATGAGACCCTTCAGTTGTCATTTGTTCAATGCTTTCAAGTTTTCGATGATTACCAATCTAAGTTTGATTCATGATTTCAAGAATTTCCAATAATCTTCGTCTTGGTAACTTTTGTTTATGTTTACATTTAATTGATTTATTAAATTTCTTTTGTTATTTTAGAGTTTGCCAAAAATCGCCAAATTATTTTATCACAATGCGTAGCTTTTGGACAAATTCTCATAACAATAATACACTAAGTATTATGAGTTTTAAATTCATTATTCATTGTTTGTTATACCGTTTGTTCATGGAATATTATTATCATTTTATATACAACCTTTTCTTATTATAGTACTTTATCAGTTTTGATGAATCAATTTTTCATAATGGATGATCCTATCATCATTATTTTACATGCAAATCCTGTGGACAACAATTCATGTCTAGGGGGCATCGAATACATATGCACCACACAAGTCACTTGATTTATGTGTGGGCTGTGTTTCTTAGGGGGTCACTCCCGGAGCCTCCGACGTTCTCATGGTATCCGGTGACCAACGATTGGTCCATACGCCATTTGGCCCCTCAGGATCCTAGAGCTCATGTGAATCATTTGTTTGGTATCAAGGTTTTCCAACCCACCTAGGTGGATCCATCATATTCACCAACCCGCTTAAATCGCGAGACATTCGCTCTTCATCCTCTTAATTTCGTAAACAACACCGCCATCGCGAGGATGTAGTGAGTAGGAATTCCCTGACAGTAGCTGTATACGCGTGGCCATGTGAGAGGATTTCGAAAAGGAGAGCGAACTCTCCCCATTCTCTGCTGAACCAGAGCATCTAGGGGCTCTTGGCTCATTATTCAAATTGAATAGATAAGTGTGCTAATATCGACCTAAAGCCTACAGTCTTACATACGTGACTGAAGATGAGTCCTTGATTCATCTTATTACATAATATCACTCATATAAACAAATATTTGTGACATTTAAAAGTTCAATATAAAGTATGTATAAGCTAATGTGAAGTAGTTGATATAATTTGTCTTTTTCACATTAGAATCGATTATATCAAGCACAGTTAGTGACTGCTTTGATGTAATTTAATACAAGTGACTGACTATAAAAGGCATTTTACTCTATAAACATTAGTTATATCCATAACAAACCAATCAAATTGTTGCTTAAATACCCACTACTTCAATCTAGTCTGATGTCTGCGTAGACTGATCCTTGTTGCTTGTGTCCTACCAATTGAAGGACATAATTATCTTATTATATTAGTGTGACTCACAATTTTTTTAATCATTTCTATAAGACACATAATACGGATCGGTTTGTTTTGTACGTCCTACTTAATAATTAGAATTTCCTTAATTGTTTTTACATTTAGAAATAGATAAAGTTTAAAGCCAAGTTGTCCGAGATCGTCAGTATCGCGTTTACAGTTCTAATAGAATATCTGTAGAACAAATTAATTCCTACGCTATGCAAATGAATGTAATTTGATCTAACTGAATAAGCATTGGTTTATTAGCTCTGTGTTCATACCAAGTATTGAAAGTTTCCTCATTACAAATATGAAACAGCTAATAAAGCCTTCTCATAAAAAACTTCATGCAATTAGTTGCTTACAACCAAATATATATTAGAATTTTACATTGAGATAACAAATATGTAAGTGCAAGAATAGGTCAGAGGTTATTAGGTGTTAGAATCAAGGAAACATTAAAGATGGGTGGTGTAATAGTCGAGTGAAGTTGAGAAGTAATGAAGGATTCATGGGATTAAAAAACTGATAAGATGGGTTACGTAATCATTGAATAGAATTTCAAGAGTCCACATAATTTAAGAGAGCCAAGTGAATGGACATTTATGAGTGATGTGGTGGTTTAAGAATTCGATAATGGGAGAGGAATATAACATAAACTAAATATTAACTAACAAAATAAAACTAATAACCAAACACACACAAAAGGATTACCAGAGTAGTAATAAGTTTATTACTGTCTCTTTCTGAATACATAGATCCGGCTTAAGTTTTTATATCGCTATTGCTTCAGCAAAACGGAGAGCAGCCATACTTCTTTGTTTGTTAATCATTTTAAAAGCATGAGAGATGTCAACGGTATGCCCGGTGTCAAGTAAATGCCGAGCTATTGCACTGTTGAGAACCTTAGTCCCTCTCAGCCTCAATTTCTTTGAAACATGCTCAGAAATGCGAACATATATTCTCTCAGTTCTTCCAATGTATGTGCTTTGGCCCGTACATGTGAATTGGTAAATGCAGTTGTAGCTACTGTGGAAAGAGGACTTGTCGATTTTAGTTTGTTTGAGTGAGCAGTTCGTTTCTCATACCATCGTCAGTTTTGCTGCTGGGTAGGTCACTTTCACCGCGGAATTTATTCTATGATTAATTATTCCAGTAATTTCATCTCCTTTAAAGCGTAAGTATAGGAAGCAAGTTTTCTTTTCCACTCTGTCATACTTTACCCTTGGGTTGGTATTTGCATATTAATGGATGAATTTCGCCGGATATGTATTTTGACGTAGACACTTAGTGATGAGAGCAATTCCTTCTGCCAAGCATTCCTTTGGGCAAATTTTATGTGCGCGGTCAAAAAGGGTTCGTACAATACCCTTTTTGGGACTCATCTGACCTGTTCTTATATATATAGTTATCATTGATAACATTTGTCATTCCAATCCTTTACATCCACTTATGTCAATTATTCCATACTATTTCTTATCTTATTGTAAAATTCTAACACATATTTGGCTGTAAGCAACTGACGAGAAACCTCGAAATGTGATGAATTCATATTATTCTGCATCAATATTTGTTCTGGTTTTATTTAAATTCATAAAAAATTGCTTTAGTCAGTTTAGTACATAACACTTATGAATAAATAGCAATACCACTTAGAACAAATAAGTAGTCCAAGTTATACGTCTCCTAGAATTAAGACACATTCCCATAGTATTATGTTGTCATGTAAAGCCACTAATTATATCGTACTTTTACGACAGACTTGGATGTGACGTTTTTACGATACAACATGGTTAGTTTAAGTGAATATATAGATGCCAAATGTTATGAAGTATTATAAACATAAAACATTCAGTGATATAATTAAACCAGTCCAGATTAATATCTAAATTCAGATAAATCAAAAGTTCCGAAATATCCACAGCCAGTTTTGACAAATAGTTTAAATCCAATGGGAACAGAATCAGGCACGCAATATTACAACAATTTCTGTATGTGCATGGTGTTTTCAGTTTAGTCAGTCGATTCATCAATAATAAATCTAAAAAAATCCATAGGAATATGTGGTATTTGCATGAACGACCATTTGGATATCCGGCACATTGCCCCTACGAAAATTAGACAAAGTGGTCGAAAGAGAAGATATAAGAGGATAACTCGTGGTTTAAATTGAGTAAAATAGTTATCGGTGGGCGATTAGATTGAAATAACTAGTCAATCCCTTTGGCGAGCCTGTACAGATGGATTGGTTTATTTGAGGTGATCTTTCATCGTTTCCATACTATTCTAGGTATTTCGTAATACACAATGGTCGGCGGTCTAGCCACTCGACAGAACTAATTCAAGCCAAATCAGTAGTTATTTATGAGTGTGTATAATGTGATCCGAGTGAGCTCACTCGTCTCAGGCCAGTAGGGATTTTGGTACCAAAACCTACTACATTTGCAATATGAAAATAAAAAAAGATCATCCACACACAAATGAAGACGGTTGTTTCAAGAAGCAAATAAGTTAACCATTTGGTAAACTGATGACTTTCTGAAAATGGCCTATGTTACCTATTAAGTATCAGTGTGATTACGAATGAGAAACAAGGTCCGGTATCTATTTGACAGACTTTAAAATAAAGTAAGACCTTTGAGATTCTGCTTGTTCAACTTTTTTATGTAAATATCCAAATCTGCTCATGCTCATATTATTGTTATTGTCATGATTGTTCTCCTGACACTTTAAATATTCTTTTCTGTTCATTCCACATAATATCTTTTTCCATACACATAATTCCCTTTATCATTTTAAAAAGTGCAAGAATAAAGATTCTGACAGAATAGCATGGGTTCATTTTCACTTCATAGGTTCTCTTCAACTACTTACAATCTGTGATATTTAAGATCATGATTATATGATGGGTTTAAATTACTTACATGAATGTGTTTGGTTGGGAGTTCTATTGAAGACATATTCATAGAGTACAGCAAGGGTGGAAATAAAATAGACCGAATATTGTAAATATATACCTTATATGATAAAAGAACATTCTACAACATTGTGACAACAGTTCAAACGGCTAGAAACAAATGATTACATAATGAATAAATACTGACAGGAATATAGTGAGTAGAGCTCAGTTGATAAAATAAGATGATTGATTTGGAAAATAGTTGCAATAAAACTCGTCCTACATGAAAATCAGTAATCTGAGGTTTAGCACTTTTGAAGAACACATTTGGAATAGGGATGAAATAATACGCTTAACATGACGAGCAAGAAGTTGTAGTGACTCACATTTATCACGAGAACACGACTGGTTTAATAAAAACAATTATTATTATAACCAACTGTACCAGTGCTTGTTTTAATGTGTTTTTGTTTGACTGTGCTAATGACAGCTATATTTTGCTTCCATTCTTTTACTTACACTTTGATTGTAACTTCGCGCGAATTCGGTTACGTTCTGTAACCAAGCTTGTATCCTGGCGTGATCTCGGTATCCTTTCGATACCACGAGATCACCAGCAAATAAATATCTCGACTTGGTCCATTAACTGTCTTCTGATATTTGACTTCTCGAGGATTTTATGGATTTATTTGGTTACGTCCAACCTTCGCCTTCTGAATTGTTTGGCACGTGTTTCTTTGTAGCGGTGTTCATAGTTAATCTACTCTCGACGCCACGCTACAAAGTTACATCGTGCTTACATCAAGTTTAAGCGCACTATTTCTTACAAAACGTATCTCTCAAGTGATGAAATTTATACTATCTTAGTGGTACATGCTGTAGGGTTAAACTTCAATGTTGTTTCGCTTTCGTGACAATTTACCAGTAGGCAACTTTTAAGGCCTATCTGATAGAAATATATGTGGTAATAAGATTTATGTGAATAATAATTCCATTTAAATTGTGCGCACACTATGTCCTATTATTATTTAAAAAGAACGATGACCCAAACCTAATGTATTTTTTGTTAGCGTTTTTTATACATATG